GCAGCCGTAGAGCTTGGCCACCACACAAAGGTGCGCGTCGCGCCAAGCTGCTTGGCCGACTATACGCACAGCCCGTCCCCTTCCTGGCTGCGCTCCATGACCCTCGTCACCCCGCGGGGGGCCCCGGCACAGACATGAGGCGACATCATGAAGAATGGACGCGTGCTTAGTCGCGACAGGACGACGAAGTGGTTCAGTTATTCTGAAGAATCACTTCTCACTGCAAAAGGCTACTTTGCAGTCCCTACCTACCTCGTCCACAAACACTCAGTTTAACATAAATTGTATCCTAACATAGTTTTGAGCCGTCTTTTTGTACAAATGGAATACTTAAATTAGATAGACTGTCCAGTCCACAAATTGTTCCTATGCCATTCTAAGAGAAGGCATAAGTACGCAGAGCAATGGGGTTCCATGTGCCTTCGACAAAGGCTGTTGGTAGCTTACATACTAGGGGGACGATTATTAAAACTAAACACCTAATATGGCAACGATTCTCGCTCCCTTTCTTGTAAGTCACCAATTTCATCACTTTACTAAGTTGTGAGTTCATTCTCCTGCACGCAATGTCTCTTTTAATAAAAAATATGATCACAGACCTCGTCCATTTTAAGTACATTTTGGTTTGGCGACTCTTAAGGGCTCTGCACGGACAAAATAGTCGTTTGGCTATACAAGTGAGCGGTTGAGAGCCCTCTCGTCACACACACACACACACACACACACACACACACACACACATGTCACACAAACACACTTACACGCGCGCGCGCGCGCACGTGCACGTGCACACACGCGCGGACTAACACACATACACACATAAATACACACATGCATAGATACACAATCACGCTGCACAACACGATGAGTATATACGCATAAGATACTGTGCGAAAAGGGAAGGGAGATGGCAATTTCTTCTTTCTGTGAAGGCACTTCTGTTTTCTAATGACGCGCACGACTTTGGTTCCGTTGTTGGCACACCTGGCTGCAGGTGCAGGGAGCTGCCAGCAGCCCAGGAGTAGAAAATGGTGAGGTTGGCAGTTTCTTGTCGGTGTCCGGCGCCGTCGTGGTCCGCAACTCGTCTGGTGGCAAGCGCTCCAAGTGACTCGGATCACGTCGACCCGGCATGAAGGATGATGAGGATGTGGGGAAGGTTTACTGGTCCTCGGCCTCCTCCCGGAACAGGTACGTGGACCAGTAAATCAGGTTGAACAGCGCGAAGACGAGCGGGAACGTGATGCGGGAGATGACGTCGATGCGCTTGGAGCGCGTGGGGAACTTGGACAGCCAAGTCTTGCAGCAGTTCGGCCGGCTCTGCTGCATGTGGATCTCGCACTGCCGGACCTGCAGCACATCAAAGTAGAAATGAGTAATCACCCCGAATGGAGATGCGGCCCTAGCTGGCTTCTGCTGCGAGCGCCCTAGTGTAACTTTCAGCAGGCCGACTGCATTGAAGATTGCGCCACGAGCCGGTTGTGCGTAGAGGCACTCCCTACGACATTGTGCCAGCCATGTACCCAAGTTGAGCGTGCCGCCGGTCCCCTCGCACTCGCCTTGAAATACTTTTGTGATTCATCTCGGGTAAACTTCCGCACAACTCTTTGGGAGGGAGCCGACAGCCTGGCAGGCGCGC